GAAGTTGTCTTCTTTCATCGGAATCCAAATTCCGAGGGACCATTGTAACAATAATACGACCCTGGATGGATCGTGAGTGCCATTAAGTAGTCTGTTGCCGACGCAATAAGCTTGTGCATAATGTAAACTTCATAATTTGTCATAAATTGAATTGGTTCATATAAACCTCTCCCTTCCTTTTGGGAAGTCAAGTTAATGAAGAGCAGTGAATTAATAAACCACAAATTGACACGCCTACTTGAGACGAATGGAGCAGTGAGGTTTGCGAACAGTGGCGTATCTAGGGGTGTGCCGGGGGGTGGGGGACGCACTCCTCTCCCTCAAAAACATTTCTCGCGCCCTCCTAGTCGCCCCTAAAAAAATCACGGTCAAGTAGTTAAAAATCACCTAAAATCACCTTATTACTGCCCCTCAATCAACTGATCATAGAGTCCCTCACTTCACCTTCTCCACGGCCCCCTCCCCCACCTATTAGCACCCCCATTTCAAGACTTCTAGATACGCCACTGTTTGCGAACCGCGAAATATTAATTATATTAACCTACCCGGCCCATACTTTGTATCAGGCATAATATGCCTGCAGGAAAAATTTGGTCACGGCCGGGGCCAAAATCGGCCCGCCGGACCGATTTTGGCTTTAAAATTACCTGCCAAATGTAGTCCACATAAGCCAAAATCGGCCCGGCATCTATTTAGTAGTTATAACTTGTATTTTCATAACGTTGTTCATTTTTTTTAAATCAATTATAGACAAATAGGCCTATCTTATCTCTTATTACAATACTGTTTTCATTCGTTATGTGTGAAATCATGATATTAAGTAAAGCTTCGCGCCCAGTAAACCTTTTGTTGTTAAAGTACGAAAAGAAGTTAAACGATGTGTTCCGCTTTAGTTTATTTTTTTAACTTTTTTTGTTTTGGTTCTGTGTGTTTAACGCCGCGACGAAGTACATGCATTCAATTCAAAGAATTCTGACCCCTTTATTTCATGTATTAGAATATCTAATACCCCACACAATAATCCGGAATATTTAAAACTAATAAATCAGTCTTGTTTTTCATGTTAAGCCCTAACCCAGGCAACCACGGCCGCCGAAAATGATGCATGTGTATCGATCGCCCAGACAGGAGACGAGTTACAAGTGAAGTGGCCAGGCAGATTCGGATTAATTTTATACAAGTGGGACTGGTTTTAGCGGCTAAAATCAACCCGGAGGACCGATTTTAGTAGTCTGGCGGACCGATTTTGGCGCCCAAAATCTGTCCGCCGGACATTTTTTTGCCCGGACCAATTTTGGCGTTGCCTACCAATCGGGCTACCAATAGATTATTAGGCCTATTATATAGTTTTACTTCACTATATTATTGTTTTCTGTTCTATACGGGTCTCCGATGTATAAGAATGAGATGGTTATATGAAGAAGTGCGGTAGGCCTTCAGCTTATGCAGTATTTTTGGTTTTTCTTTTTTTGTTTTGTTTTGGTGATAAGGCCTATCATTATCAACACATCATCATCACGATCATCTATCATGATCATGGCATTACCATCATCATCATCATCATCATCATCATCATCATCATCATCATCATCATTATCATCATCTTCATTATTGTTATTAGGCCAGCTGTATCATGTTTATCTATATTTTTCCTCTTAAATTATACGGTACTGATTGGCCATCGTAGGATAATCGTCAATTAATAATGAAAGGCAGCGCTAGATGCCACTGGAGGACCACGTTAAAACTACTACTTTTCAAAGAAAATTCCACGAAATCTTGTCTTGTTAATAAAAAGGCCTCCACAATCCATTAAAGTCACGTACTGTACCTGATTTTAGTGGTTATAACCCATGAAAAAATTATAAAATTAGTTCTTCTTGATTTCTTTTAAAACAAATTAGTCTACTGTTATAAGCCTTTTTACACCAAGAGATACCGCAATTACTTTAGAATCTGAAAATAGCGAAATGGAATGATCGTGTCAAGTCTATCCAGAAGTCAAGACACGAATATTTATTTTATTTTATTTTAGTCTGGCATAAATATATAGAAAAACAATCATCAGCACAGCAGAAACCTGTCTCTTATACACATCTAGATGTGTATAAGAGACAGGCTTTATATAAAGTACAGTATTAATATTGAGTTAAAGTTTTGAGTTTCTTTATTTAGTAAACACGGTCCATAGAATTGTACAAAAACATAGGTCCAGCGTATTTTAGAATGGCAGGTCCCGGGGTAGCGAGAAAAAAAAAAGACTCAGACTTATTCCCCCTGAAAAAAACACACAATCAACCTACCTCATCAGACCAGGTCGTCTAATTCAATGGCCCTTATAAGACATTGGATCCGTTTTAATATATTCTCAAAATTAATTACAGTAGTTTATTAAGAGGCTATAAATTATTAGCATATAGGAAAGCTACCGGTTTATTTTATGGCCGTTATTATTGGTGTGAATTGTTGTTTCTCATCTCATTTTCAATTGAACCACGTGTTTAGAGGTTGGTAAGCCTAGATATGGGTAGCCTATACCGGTGTGTAAAAATACAGGAACAGAATTAATTTGGAATCTAAGACCTATCTTAAATATATACAGATAAGCCATTAAAATAATTTAATATACTATGTAGCGTTTATAGTTTATCCTCAGACAAATTATATTAACCAATCAACTCCCTAACCATTTACATCAAATTTATGTCTTCTAGTAGCTGAATTAATATTTTACCACGGTAAATAGGCCTATATCTTATAATTGTTCGTTCATTCACGAACCTCAATGTAATTTGCATTTCCATTTTGAATTTTTTTTTTTTGTTTCTTCAATTTTTTCGACTTTCAATATGCTATTTTCTTTTGTCAAGTTGTAGACTAATTTCACTTTTTTTTAACCAAACCAAAAAAATAATTAAACTAAATTAAATCTGATCACGGTTAACCAAAAGTAGCATCATTTGTGTTTCAGTATCCTGACCTTTTGATATTAGTCAAACGTTTATATATAAAAACAATTGAAACAACTGAGGAACGAAACCATAACCGACAAACAAGTCGAAAGATAGGCGCTAATTACGTCAGTGCTTAGTCACAAACAGTAAGAAAACGGTGGTTTTATAAACGGTAACTTGGAAGAAGCGATGGATTGTTCCTGCTTAGTTCTGGCATCCGAAAACACTTCCTCCACGAAACCAACTAATCCTGTATTGTTAAATTAAAGGAAATAATATGAACAAAGGATTGTATTATAGCTCTATTGTCATTATATTGGTGAGATTAGAATAATTTCGTCGATCTTGAAAGAAGTTTTTGGACAAAGCATAATAATGATATACATTAGGTAATATGTAAAATACTGAACTTCTTAGTCATTCACAGAGATACCGCAATTACTTTAGAATCTGAAAATAGCGAAATGGAATGATTTTGTCAAGTCTATCCAGAAGTCAAGACACGAATATTTATTTTATTTTATTTTAGTCTGGCATAAATATATAGAAAAACAATCATCAGCACAGCAGAAACAGCTGGATTTACAATGAGCAATTTATTACAAAAAAAAAAATGACCCATTAAATCAAAAGCATTTTTACTAAAATGGAACGACATTATCTAATGAAGCTACAATTACATATTCTCAATTAAATTAAACCATTAATTTACAAATTAGAATTATGTATTAATGAATATTTACAAATTGATATTAGATAGCAAAATAATATATTTAAGGAATTAAAAATAAAGGAATTTTATGTAATGTAATTATTATAAACCAAATGGCTATTAGGGGCCCATTAATAAATAGCCTACAAAATAATATTTTAAAATAATTTCCAACTTATTTGAAGAAAAAAAAACTGTAAGAGGGCCACTCAATAGGCATAGGACCGTAGGATTTTGGAGGAGGAATTATTGATAGGCCTATATTGTGTTGATTTTAACTCAGCTGTGGATTCAAGTGGAGCCGACCTGGACCCCCTGAATTTCTCAAAATTATAAAAATAGTGGGAAAAAGAAAATTATATTCGGCTAAAAAAAGAAACAATTCTTACGATGGATATTCTGAAAACATGATTCATTAGGCCCATAGGTCTATGGAGGAATTAGTTTATGCAGAGGTCTACTTAGTTCTAAAATTGTCATTCCTTGAATTAAAAAATCGCTTTCTGGAATTCACCACCCTAGGAAAATTGACGGACCCCGGCGCATATACCCAAACCTTCAATAGCCATAAAACTCAAACCTACGGTCCTCGGTGACGCTTCACAAAGGGCCCGACAATTAATCTTGCATTGGGGCCCAGGTTCTCTTCTATAGCTACGTCGTTGTTTAGGACTTTGGCATAATTACCGTATAGTATAATGCCTATATAGCCAAAAAAAAAAAAAAAAAAAAAAACCAAAAAAAAACTGTACACTTCGGAAAGGGTCTGGTACCTCATGGCGGATACGGGGTGGGTGGTAAGGAGGGGGCACTGCCTCTCCCCATTACAGCACAAAAACCTCACAGCACAGCCAATGGACCCCACCCCTGGTTGTAGGCCCAGTGTTGTGCCCATGGAATTGTCCACAAGATTGCTCACAAAACGTAAAAAACATCTAGTATCTGAAAATGCGATAAAATACTGTATTTGCTTAACTGCTCGTGCCCGTTTTGTTGTACTGTACACTTTAGTTCAAATAAAATTATGAAATCAATAAAAATGAAATTTATTTTCAGAATGTTATGCCAACATGAGGTCTTATGACAATTTTGCCTTATTCTGTGATGATTAGTTTACCATGTATGTATCGAATGACAGGAAATGACTTTTATAACGCCTACAGTGAAAGTAGTTTATTTAAAACAATATAGGGCGTAATATTTGTATTAATTAATTATTATTGGCATTATGAGCAATACCGTTATGAATTTTGCGAATGTGCGCCCTCTTTAGGGTACAGTAGATGCAACAAAAAAAAAAATCTTTGTATGAGGTCACACATCCGGGTTACACTTACACCGAATTAGTCTTTTTACACACGAGATATAGCAGTGTAGTGCTGTGGTTGAGCCGCTAAAGTTAACATCAGGATAATGGGCAATGAAGACGAACGAACTTTTTTGCAAAAGGCCAGCGGACAGTGGAATGACTTTAGGACATTTTTGTGGAACAAAAATGAAAAAACAGTGTTGGGAAGAAATGGAAAAAGTTGGGGTAAGTGATGTCAGGGCACGCACCTGGGTGCCGCCGGGCGACCGGTCTAATCGCTGTTCGATCACCCGGCATACTACTACTATGACCCCGACGCCGATCGATTATTATAGAATGCTTATCAGACTATTAGGCTATCGTCATTTGACGTGTCAATCTAAGTACAATTTTCTCGGAGACCATTTTAAAGAATTTCAGATATTTTTTGGCTTGACACTACGATGTAATGAAGTGGCATGATTGAGGACGTACATGGGGAGAAGGTCCCCAACCTGTTTCATCCAGGCCTAGAATTTTATTAGGAATATGATTTCACCGGCAAAGAAAATGAAATTTTCCGGTGAACTTTGACCGATGCTTACACTAGGAGTGTGAATCCATGTAGGCCTAGATATTGTAATACTAACTATCCTATTATTACCTAATTCATTCATCTCTTTTTATTTTTGTTTTTGACAATGTAGGCCTAGGCTACATAATTTATAACATTTTATAAATAAGGTAAATCAATTGTCATGTACTTTATTAATCTTCTACATTGTGAAATAATCCATATAATCTCCAATTCTATGCTGTTCAATTGCTTATGGAAAAAGATACATTGTTGTCCGCATATAATAGGCCTAGCCTAGGCCTAGATTTGAAATTCACTTACATAGGATTCAATACATCTTTCATTCAATTTATTTATTTATGTTGTGCTTTGATATTAATGTTACTTGGTAATTAATTTTGTTAATTATTGATAATTTTGCCTATTTATCTTTATATAAATATGCCATCATTTTGTGTGATTGGTGATGAGATTTAAGCAGCTGTCATGGAAATGACAGGGAGCGAACAGTAGATGTTTCCCAAGCGAGGTCATATTGACCGATAGAATATCACTTAATAAAAATCTAGGCCTAGTTTTTAGGATTCTGCCTGCCATTAGTATTCTCAGAAACATTCAGTAACAAACACATGATGATGTTACAGTACTAGGAAACTATAGCAACATATCAAACATTTAATCCTATTGATTTAAGTGGTACAGGATTTAGATAGCTCACACACATTCCTTCTCAAAAAAAGTCTTGTAGTTTATACTGATAATATATACTTTAATTTATTCCAGTAATTAATGGTTTTTTTCTTGCACAAAATACAATATACAGCTATGCTCTCTGTATTCATTTATAATTATTTTTTTCAAAATTAATTGATAAATATATGGATAAATGGGTTGTTTATTCACAATTCTTTTTATGAACATAAATGTAGACTTAATTGGGTACAAAAGTATAAAATCATGTCAAAGGAATGCCTTGACAGTAAATTTGGTTTTGGTATTTATTAACAATAACCATGAAATTCTATAATATTAACATAACATGGCTAATTATCGACAATAAAAGCTTGACTCAAATCTATGATTATAATTTGCCATTGCTGAACTCATAGTATTAGTAGTAATATTTTAATATCTTACCAAACAAATGATAGCTGTATGAATGTTCGAAGATTCACATGTTGTATATGTCAAGCAATCTTACACCTGTCCCCATGATATAAGGGCAACTGATCTTTACTGTGGGCTATAGTGATACAGTTCAAATTCCATTTAGGTCTTGTCATTGCTGCCTGCTGTGTTGCGCCATCAATATTAGAAAACTGAAATATATTTAAAAATTCTAATTTAGATTAATTTCTTCCATTACCCTTCTGTTACATTTGTTGGCGGTCCTCCAGTACCTTGGTAATTTGAAACTTGAAATTTTAAAACATTTTTTATTTTATATTATTTTCTGTGTTTGTTTGTATCCAAGGTTCCTAATGATTTTTAGAGTTGTAATATGATTAGTTTGTAATAAATTTTGTTTTCTATTATGGCATTATTAGGTTCATTTGAAGGTATACATTTAATAATAATAATATATATTTGGTAAATATACATAAATGAAAAAAATGGTTTGTCACATTTCTAATATACTGTAACATTACTGCTGTTTTAATAATTGACCTCTCTGCTAGAAATTATCAAGTTGACCTTTAAGTATGAAATATTGATTATAGTGTTGGGATAGTGATTTGATCACTGTCAAAGGACAATATTAGTCCATACATAATGTGCTGAGTTCCAAGTATAATGAGCTGCAGTATGTTAAGAATAACCTACCTTAATAGTAATTCTAACCTACCCTTGCCCCAGCCCAAATGCCTGCCGCAAGTATAAAATTCGTTGGGCACTACTGATGTTGGCCTAGAACATGAAATATTATGTTCAGCCCTTAAAACTTAAATTCATTAGCATTCATTTACCAAGATTATTATTTATCACCCCATCCTCCTTAAAAATAATGTATGTTAATATATTTCTACCTTTCCCAAACTTACGTTGTGTTAAATTGCCATATTTTTGCTTGTTTCCGACAGTTGTATAATAATAATAAAAAGTATGAATTGATAATAATATTCATAGAAATTTAAGATAAAATATTTGAAATTACACATTGAACTGGTGGAAAAAAAATATAGGCCCTATACAGTACTTTAAACTGAAGAATTAAACGCCGAAAATATTAAGAGCAACTATGTGGCTTTTCTGAAATTACTTGATACATTCAAATTTTTATTGTACAAAAATCTCGTATTTCCAATCTGAGGTATATTTCCGGGCTATCTTAGGCTTCACTAGCATTTGAAATTGAATCTAATAAAAGTGACCACCAATGTACATTTTACTTAAAAACCAAAAATTCCTGACTCCCATTTCATTCATTACTGTACAGTACATGCTGTATAATCAAAGCTTTAAATCCTTATTGTTATTGTGAAGCAAGCGTTATTGTATTGTAGAAAATACTAGGGTTGGTATTATTTTGTCTATTGTGTGACTGTGTATTGTGTGACTGAAAGTGAAGAATTGTAATTTGTATGAATGGGAGCTATATTGACATTCTATTGGCTGACCTTGTGGTCAAAATTTCTCATTCATCAGATAGGATATAAAAAGGATATGACTCGAACAGATCCCTGGGAGCAACATCCAAAAACAGATCATATATACCACAAGTTCATGTTTTGTTCCCTTCTAGCTTCAACACTGTCACACATTACACCTATTGAAAACACTTCCTCTGTAAATAACCTTCGGCCTTATCATAGGTCTGCTTGTTTTTCACTCATTGAAATCTGCTGTGGAATTTTCCATTCATAGTGATTCATTTTATACAATACAAGTGTAGAAATGAGTGGTTTATAGAAACTAAATCTCTACTTAAAAGCCACTAGCAGTCAGGAAGTCATTCAATAGTCTTATTTAAAGAAATAAGTCTTTAAAACTTGATGATTTATTTATAACTGCTAGATACCTCATTTTATATGAACGGAGTTAGTTCATAATCCCTCATTTTATATTGGATTGATGAGAATAGGCCTACTCTATGTACTACCAGTTACTGAAAACTTTAATTTAATTGAATGTTGTAATTTGTTGATTTTTTATTATAAACAAAAAAATCGAACTACTGTAATAAGCCACTTATACAAAGTACTGCACATTATAGTATTGTTGTAGCATGTTCCTATCTGCATATGATCTCTCATATTCAGTAATTTGATCTCGTTGTAATGTCAACTGATACAGTATCTGTCGGTATTATTTGTCAATTTAAAATTCAAAAGGAGGCATCGGGCTAATGGAACCGATTAGTAATTATTGTAGAGGTAGCATTTAAAAAAAAGTTTTACCTTACTCATAATTTTCAGTATCTTGCTTTACACTGACATGCTTAAGATGAATTATTTATTTTCTACCGTACCTTTAAATTCTACTGGCCTTCATAATCTGAGTTTTCCCAAAGGTCAGTCAATTAAAAAAATCTTATAACATTAATATACTGTAGGCCTAAAGCCTATCACACATTTTGGTAATCATAATAAATAATATAATTTAGTAACTGGTTAATTATTACTTAGTATATATTGTAATAACTGGATCAGTTGATGAATTAGAAAAATATTTTTGTTTTATGTTTGGATGAATGATCTGCAAAATTTAATAATAATAATAATAATAATAATACATAGTGCTACTAGTGGCCTTGATGCTAATTTTTGAGGATGTCCAGTAAGTAGTCCTGTTATTAAGTTTGACCACTAACTTTAATTTATTAAGCAAGTAGATTAATAATAGTAATACTGTATACTTGGAAAGCATGACATTTGCATTTTTCAAAAATTTGACTGATTGGTCAGTTATCTAGTTGATAATTCATGTATGCAGATATTTTTGTCTAACCTCACTCACATAAATAAATAAATAGGTCACATTCAGCAAAATATTGTAACGGAACTAAAGTATACAGTATATGTACAGTACAGTATGCATTTAATATTTAGATTATCAATTAAAAACTTCTTTTTCATAGTGCTTGTAAGTTGTTACTCACGTATTTGCATTCAATAGTACAGTTATTCAATGATGTGCACTTATTTCTACAGTAATCTGTGGACATTTCATTTTATGAAGATTAAATAGATTATGATGGTATTGATATCAATTCATTGCCAATCAAAAAACATCAAAGTACTTACTGCATTTTATTAACATTTCATTTTAAAACCCATAAAATTCCAATTGAATTAAAGTAAGTTTTAAACATAATATAACTTTTATTTTCCATTATGTGGTAACTTCATTCAGTTGGATAGTGACACCATTATTTTGGTTGTACCATTTCATATTTTTATTAGAATTTTTATGCTGGGTAAAAACTACTATTGAGATTGATTTTTCAAGCCTGTATCAGAATATTACAGTATTCAGTAGGCACTTTACGCAACAGGACGAGAAGATGGGTGGACGGTGGTTCTGTGCTCATCAGAGCGTGAAGACCACAGTAAACACTTGGGCGCTTAACCTGAATTTCTGTTCTGTTTCCTCATCCTCTTCGTAAAGTGACTATTAGCAGCAGTATTAAGCCGGGTGCTCCCTGTGCCCGACGGTCTTCGGCCTACGC